AAGTTCGGTGAGGTGTTGGAGTCGAATTTCCACACGGCAAACAAAGCATTCTGGCAGACCATCCGCCGGCCGATGTGAAAAGAGGAGCAATCTCAGAGTCTTGAAGGACAGATCTGAACACCCTCTTATTAAGGATGATGAAATTCTCTGGCGATGGAGAGACTAATTTAAGGAACTTCTTAATTCCGAGCAACCGCTGGAAGACTCGTATGTACTACATGAGGGCACGAACATTTCTGTTTCTGTAGGTGAAATCGCAACAGCTTTGAGAAGCTTGAAGTGTGGAAAAGCTTCTGGAATTGATGAAATTCACCCTGAAATTGTCGTAGTATTAGTCGAACAAAGCATGCGCTGGCACACGTGTATCTGTCAAACTGCAATGGCTACTTTGAAGATATCAAGGGATTGGAGAACTGGGGTATTGTACTTCTGTTCTAGAAGGGAGACCACAGGGAGTGCTCTGGTGATAGGGGCATTGCCTTATTGTATCTCCCGGGTAAAGTCTACGCAAATGTATTGCAAAGGATGCGCCACGGAATAACTGACTCCTGGATAGTAGAAGAGCCGTGTGGCTTCCGGCTCACACGAAGCACCTATGACCATACCTTCGCCTTATTCTAGATTGTTGAGAAATACATTTGCCCATCGGGTGTAAATGTGCACATGTGCTCTGTTGACTTAGAAAAAGCCTGTGATCGGACCCCACGAGACGATCCATGGGCGTGCCTGCTAACCTCTGGGATTGAAGGCCAGCTGTTATGATCATGCAGTCACTACATGTGCATACCAGGTGCTGCATAAGTGTAAACGATGTTAAGTCGAAACCTTTCCTCGTGGGCACTGGTCTCTGTGAAGCCTTCGTTCTGTCGGTTCTCTTTTTTGTGTCTTCCGTGTATCGAATAGTCAGTCGCAGACAAGGCGATAAACGTATAGATCTAGGAGATGTTGTTTGCAGACGAAAGCCTAATGCGTTCTCATTCTGACGCCTGCTGGATCCTGCAGATAAACGAAAAGCAGTCAGACAGTAACAGAAGTTCATGTGCCTCCGGGTATTGTTTACTGATGATGGAAAATGGAAGGATGAGATAACCGCGGTAGTGATGTTCTATATGAAGAATCCCAAATGGATGTGACTAAAGTTGATCTGTATCCGAAGACAAAGTGTACCTTTATTCCCATACTTCAACTACTGTCGTGAATCATTGACCTTGACTGAAAATCTTCGATCCCTGGTACAAGAGATTGCAATGAGATTTCTGAGAATACTCGCTGGCTTTACACGCTTGAATATGGTCAAGAATACAGAAATCCGCGAATGCCTTTTGTGTAGAGCCACTGCTTCTTCTGATTGAGAAGTCACAGCTGCGATGGCTTGGACATGAATTGCTGGTTCCTCTGAAAAGAAGGCGAAGCAGCTAGTTTTTTGCCAATTCGACCGGCAGAAGATCCAGGAGAAGGCTAAACCTAGTCCGGTGCAAATATATATATGAACATGGTCCAGACTCTAGTTGTCTTTTGCTGAAGCTCAAACTTCCATTTGAAAGCATTGTCTGACGCGTCTGTCCGAACGAAGCGGAGAAGCGGTCATGGAAGGTTTGTTTTTCTTTTCATTTGTTGCATTGTTACCCATATTTTTGGATTTAAAATATCATTTTTACATGACTAAAGTTTGATATTTCTGTGATGCTGTTTGAGAGTATCATTTGTAACCATTGAGAATTTAATCCCTAATGTATAATTATTGTATGTACATACCAGTAATTAAATATCAATTTTGTCGAACATACTAGAAGAATTTGTGATTTGCAGGTTAAATTTTGTACATTAATCGCGGGAAAAGATCAGTGAACGGGCTAAGTCACTTAAATGTGTTGTTAGTAGTAGGTAAATTGTCAAAGCTATGTCGAAATGTGCTTCTTTTGAAAAAGAATATGAAGTCGAAAGGATTATTTCGTGTCGCAAAAAGCATGGCGTGATTAAGTTTTTGATCAAGTGGAAAGATTATCCCAACTCGGCAAACACGTGGGAACCTTTAGAAAATTTGAATTGCCCAGGGCTAATAGAAGAATTTAAAAGGACGTGGAAAGCGAAGTTAACGGATAATAGTTTCCATAAGAGTTCAATTTCTGGATCACCATCTAAACGGGCTTGTAGGACGAACCTTGAACAGGATGATCACTCGAAGTCGGTCGAATCGAATCGGACCCTGACGGATATCATCGGTATGACTTTCACTTTCGTGCTTCTTCGATTTCATGTGTCACATTTCGTTGCTTAGCTGCCTCTAGTTCTGTCCGTCAACCAGATCAAAAAGGTTTGTGGGTGATTGAATTTTCTCGCATTTACTTGCTGCTATCGGCGACGCAGCACCAG